AAAAAAAAAAGGGGAGCGGGGGTGGGGGGGGGGGGGCAAAGTAAACACGAAAAAGAAAAACTGGCGAAAGAGTTGCGTGCACGTACGGAAAGTACGGGATCGGGAGGAGACGCGCGCGCGCGCGCTCGCCTTCTTCGCCCGCTTTACTTTCACCGGCTCGGAAAAAAGCGTGCCCCCGCTGAGGAAGTCGGTTCCCACGGCGTCTACGAGACGTCAGGCGCTATGCACGCGTATCTCCATACACGTGCGTCTACATGTGTTCGAGCGGGCGCGCGCGCCCACCGAGAACCGGAAGTTGCGACCGCGACCTCCGTACTCTCCTTTAAGCGTCCTGCCCCTTACCCCTTGTTAGCTGGCGACTGGTCGACAAAGAGGGGCCACGGGGAGGAAGATAGAGACCGAGAGAGAGAGAGAGAGAGAGAGAGAGAGAGAGAGAGAGAGGAGACAGTAACGGAGAAGGAAACAGGGAGAACCAGAAAGAGAGACAGAGAGACCGTGAACACCGATGATAGCCGTTCGAGAAGTCACCGACGCCGGTCTCGGTGCCGCGCAATTAAACTTAAATATTTACGATCCTAATATCCCAGCGATGCCCGCGGTACTCGCCGGCCCTAGAATGGGAATTACCGACGATAATCGCGCACAGCCACAGAGATTGGTTCTTTTTGCGGACGGCCTAGTCGTAAAACGACCCCCTCGCGCTCGCCTTCGAAACGGAAGATCCGAGGGTGGAAACGTAATTCATAATTCAAGTGTGACTCGAGATTGCGGTAGGCGGAACAGCTGATCGCCCGACGAATTCACGGGCGCCTGTTGTGCTTCGCGAACGTTCATCGATGACGATTCAACCCTGACCTATAGGGTAGTGGAGCGGCGCAGCGTTCAATTTCTGCGTCTTTCATTTGCTTTCGGGCAGAATTAATTTTATATTTATGAAATCAAGTATATTAAATATTTCTATTCTTCCGTTTTGTTTATTCTTCTATGAAAAGAAATTTGAATCATCTTATTCGTTGGTCGTGGGCGAAGTTAAACTAATGACGGAATAATTGGCTACCCCACAGTAAATGGTCCATCAACTACCTTACTCTCGCCACAAAACGTGACCAAGTTGATAGCCGATTTCCATGCCGATTTCGTTGAAACTTTGGAAAAATATTCGGCGCATATTTTCTTTATCGGCCCGACTTCTTGTTTCATCGCTTACTTCCAAGGCGTTCGCATTGAAGAAAATTGTAAAAAGGTCAAACGTCGAGATACTATTTTATCTGCATTTTGCAGTTACGAACAGACTTCGATTTGTACAGAATTATTTTTAATATATCTTTCACTGGAATTAAGATATTGAAGATCGGGTTGCGCGGCTGGATTCTTCGTTAAAAAAGTACAGAATTTTGCAATTTCAACTATTCTTCTAACTCTAATAATCTTCGAGATAGTCGACCAAATATTTCGATCTTCAACTTTGGGGGCTGTTTTCATCACCCCTTCGATGAAAACCTTCGCAGAGGTTATCGACGAATGGAAGATAGTCTTCTAAGAACTATTTTTTCACAAATTTTTACAAAAATCGTACCGTACCACTTCGGAATGTTCCCTCGACAGCAGAAAAAGTCTGCGTACGTCTCTTGGAATTTCTCGGAATTTCATTTTTGAGCTTGTAATGAGAGACTTGAATTCTCTCGAAATATTCGAAGAACACAGTCATCTCCGGTCCGTCACGCGCCGCTGAGACAATGCCCCGAATATAGTCTCGATCCTTGGTACATAAATAGTCCCGGTAACTTCGACGAGAGCTATGTCAGGCTATAAATACACCGAGCAATGCCGAAGTGCAGGATATAAATTATAATATAGGATATTATCTCGATCGCGCGCGGAAAGGGTTGAACCGCGGGCTGAACTTAGCTCGGGGCATAATCAACATTAAAGTTACATAACATTGGCAACAACCTAGAATTGCAGGGTGCAAACTTCTTTACACACCCCGGCCATCGATGCAAAGAGAAACCAACGACGTAACAACGTGAATAATAATAACGTGCTACCTGGGTTGATACGCAGATCCGCAAATAATATTTAATGCTCGAGGTCGACGTCTCGGAGCACCGCGAGAGAGCCGATCGCTCGCGACGCAACGAAACGGCGAAAGTATTTCCGTCTAATTAATTCAAGCCGGCGGTCGAGGGATATGAGGGAGGACCGCAAAGGGTTAATCAAATCGATCCAGGCTGGATTATTTTAGTCCCGATCGTAATTCCCGGAAGGTGCAAAAAATGATACGTCCATCGGGGTTCGGTGACTCGGAAGCGGCCTGGTCTGGTGCAGCGTGGCGTGGCGTAGCTTTGCTTGGCTTGGCTTTGCTTGGCTCGGCTTGGCTTGACTTGGCGTGGCGTGGCGTGGTGTGGCGTGGCGTGGTGCAAAAAGGCAACGAGGGATTTCCAGTGTCGAAACGTCAGGAGTCACGAGCGCGACTTAACCCTGCCTGTGTCCCCCACCAAGCCCGTCCTTTTTGCTTTGACAGCACTTGCTTGCTCCCTCCTTCTCTCCGGCAGCGTTTCGCCTCGATCCGCCGCGCCGGGCGACTTCCACCTCCAAAGTCACCTCCATCGGCTAGCAGCACACCTTTGCCAGCTATAGACCGGCGCTCCACCTCCGGCAGCCTCCTCACACCACCCACAGCGTAAAATTATAATCTGTCATATTCATCAGTACACCGTCCTCCACCCTTCTCTTCCTCCTATTCCTATATTCTTCTTCGTCCCCCTACCTTACTCCTCTCTCTCTCTCTCTCTCTCCCTCTTCCACCCTCTTGCTCCCTCTCTCTTCCCTCTCTCCCTGGTTCAACGCCGTTTCTCCCTGTTCGACGCAGTATAGTCGTCGAGTTGGTGTATTCACCCTCCTCCAACCCCTTCCAACCGGTCTCTCGTCGTTCCTCCGCCTACCATCTTCGTTCCTCGTGCTGCTCCACCTTCGTTCATCTTCCGATTCCCTTTATCTACCACTTCTCCCGGTTCCTCTCCATTTTCTCGTTTCGTTTCGACCTCCCGCCCCCTCTCTCACCAGAAACACAACCCCCCTCCTACACCTGTTTCGCAGATGCCCCTTTCTGTTTTGCTGCTGCTGCCCTTTGAGCTCCTTCTTTCCATGCCGGTCTATTGCCACTTGCTTCGCCCTTTCTTCCTCGATTATTGCTGCGTCGGGCCTTACCGATGCCTTCGGTCCTGTCCGGGTTCACGCTCGACGGAGGCTCGACAATTGGGTGGCAAGCTTGAACGCGGCTACCGTTAAACGCTGCAACGGAGCATGCAGAAAATACTCGCGTTCGCGTCAATGCATTCTTCGCAGCCGATTCATTAAACCGCCATTCGTTCTCCGCGAACTAATTCTAAGCGGCGCATTATCTCGCTACTTCGCGACGCAGAGTAACGAAGTATTCATCAAGATTCTCCTCTAGCTCTATCGTTAACTATTTGTTTTACGTTCAATAAGGGGCTCGGCGTAGAGCTGGGACGACGCGTGTATGCACGGCCCATGTTGCATCGATATCCTAGCCGTACTTGACGGTGCGTCGATGATTTCGTTAAAGCATCGTAGAGGCAAAACGAAGAGGCCGGTTTCGGACAGTTTTATCAAAATGCACACTTCGCGCATGGTAAATTGTAAGTAATATGTTATAATATATAATAAATAAATAATTATCATATATTACCAGTGCGCGAGCATTTTAATCAATCCACATTGTTTTATTTAAATTCATCGTGTTTTACCTCGTTCGCTTAAGCTTCGGAGCTTCCATTCATCTCAACGATATCTTGTTTATATTATCGTTACATCGAACGCGATCGGAAACACGTCGTTAATATCGATATTCATCGATAATTGTATGGATGATCGCACCTCTAGTTTAATGTCCATCCCAAAGAAATATCTTTAAAAATGTGTAAAACAAAATTGAAACATTTTACCGAATAACCACGGCTGCCAAAAAATCGCCAAAACCTATCACCTAAATTCTCCAGCATCCAATTTCAATTGCGTACTAATTGCGTCAGATCCGGTAAGAGATTCAACGTTGATCCGAAAGAACTGTACAGCTTCCTAATTTCTATAATCAGCACATCCTCATAAGTCCAAAAAATTCGTCGCTCCTCGAAGAAGCTCGACAAACTGACAATTAAATCATGACACAAAGATCGAACAACCTTCCGTCAAGAGATCACAGTTCGATGCGGATTTTAAAGAGTCGCCAGGGACGTAAACAGCCCGTGAAACTGTGCGAGATCGCAGTTCGTCTGGCTAATCCAAATTGCGAGTCTGCGAACGAATAAACGGACCAGAGCTAATTACAGGAATCATCGAATCGAGATTTCCGCGGAAACTGTCGCCATCAACAACGACAGCTCCTCGACGTTCACTGGGTCTTATTTCCCCATCCCAACCTTGTTCTCACCTTCGCCTTTTACTTTCGCCTTTTACCTTCGTCTCTTACCTTCGTCTTTTACTTTTGTCTTTTACCTCCGTCTCTTACCTTCGTCTTTTACTTTTGTCTTTTACCTTCGTCTTTTACTTTTGTATTTTACCTTCGTCTTTTATCTTCGCATTTTACCTTCGTATTTTATCTTCGTTTTTTACTTTTGTATTTTACGTTCATCTTTTACCTTCATCTGTTACCTTCGTCTTTCACCTTCATCTGTTACCTTCGTCTTTTATCTTCGTAGTTTACCTACGTCTTTTACCTTCGTTTTTTACCTTCGTCTTTTACTTTTGTCTTTTACCTTCGTCTTTTACTTTCGTCTTTTACCTTCGTCTTTTACCTTCGTCTTTTACCTTCGTCTTTTACCTTTGTCTTTTACCTTCATCTTTTACCTTCGTCTTTCACCTTCATCTGTTACCTTCGTCTTTCACCTTCATCTGTTACCTTCGTCTTTTATCTTCGTAGTTTACCTACGTCTTTTACCTTCGTTTTTTACCTTCGTCTTTTACTTTTGTCTTTTACCTTCGTTTCTCAGCTTTGTCTATTGCTCATGTCTTTTACCATCGTCTCTCACCTTCGTTCATCAGCCCTGTCCCTCACCTTCGTTTCTCATTCAGTTCCATCTTTTCGTGTTCAGGACTGCTGGCTGATCGCTCCCTCCTGTCGTTCTACTTCTCCCCCGGATCGCGAGAGCTAGACACCACCCCTCTCACTCATCCCTCCACAGGCATCCCCGTCGGTGTTCTCGATCGCACCAGCTACCTCGTTGAACTGGCTGACGGAGCAGGTAGAAGCGAAGGTAAGGTGTCTTCATTTATATTATAATCTTCTCTTCCCCGTCTCGTTCTTATGCATCGAATTCGAGCGACGTGGCCTCTCGGCTACCACCCTCGCCCCCCCCCCCTCTTCATCCCCGGCCGTCCTCTCTTCGGTCCTCGCCGAGCCGTACTCTTCTTTGACGTTCCATTTCTGACGTTTATTGGTCTCATTTTTGTTTCTCGCTTCGCCATTGTTCTTGCGGACCCCTGCCCTCTCCGAGCAACTCTCCCCCCGTCGTTGTTCTTCTCCTTCGTCTCTTTGCTTGATAACCTAATAGAAAGTTGTTGCACGGACGCATCACTTTTCTGACTGGTCTCTGCCGAGGTGGGAGTTAGTTTTGTTACTTTATAATCAAATACACGGCGCGGAAACACCGACTGTCTTCGCGGGTTTAAATTCTAGGCTTCCGGCGGTCGCTACTTGCGTTCTTCCATTTATGTACTTGGGTTAGCTGGTATGGGTCTGTTGCGAGTTTTAGAACAAAGTTCATCAACGTCTACTTATTAAATATTTTTAAATTAATTCGAGACGTGCACATATTTATTTGTCGAACATTTGCGGATCTTCGTGGAAATTTCTATTTTCACGACGCACAGAGACCTCGTTAAGAAATATATTTGCGGCGAAAATGAGCAGCTGACGTATAAAATTGTTGGCATACGAAAAATTTAATAATATCGTTACGCTAGCCAAAAGTACAAACAGAAGTAATTTATTTTTATTTAATTTCTGTTGCTTACAATCGTCTCTGGAAAATTTTATTTTGCATGAAGATCCGCAGTTTGCTTGTAATATGTATATTTCATAATTGTATTTCTTAAAAAGTACACTTTGCAAAAATAGAACATAATGATGTGAAAATATTTATAACGATATAACACGATGTTGTAAAAATATTTGTAACGATATAACACGATGTTGTAAAAATATTTGTAACAATATGACACGCTGATGTAAAAATATTTGCGGAACTATAACCCCATATAGCTTTGTAACAATAAAACTACACTTGGTAAAATGTACAATTATACAATATTTGGTAATGTAATAAATTGTCTATTACAGATATGCTAATGAATATAAATATACTGCTTACTGCAAGGTTATTTAACATAACCCCATATAGCTTTGTAACAATAAAACTACACTCGGTAAAAAAAGTACAATTATACAATATTTGGTAATATAATAAATTGCCTATTACATCTATGCTAACGCATATAAAAATACTACATGCTGCAAGGTTATTTAACATAACCCCATATAGCTTTGTAACAATAAAACTACACTCGGTAAAACGTACAATTATACAATATTTGGTAATATAATAAATTGCATATTACATCAATGCTAACCGCATATAAATATACTACATACTGCGTGGAACACCGTCTATTTTACAGAGATAAAATTCAATTGACGTGTCCAGAATTGTGCCTCTCCAACATCTCGCTTTCGCCCCGTACATCCCGCCGCGAGCAACGGCCAACAAATGAGGAAAACGGGTTAAGAAACGAGTTAGCCATTTTTCATTCACAAGCAATGAAACCTTCGTGTGTCCCGAGTTTTCCACCGGCGCTCTATTGGAAGATCAAAAAATGGCACGCGCTTCCACGAGCGGTAAGAGGTTCTTCATTCCCGATGTATCCGGCCGCGATTTCGGGCGTTCGGTAATACGGCTCCGCGCTCGACGGGATAATATTATAATTCGGTGGAAATCGTCGGCGCCCGACCACGGCCCAGACGCAAACACAGTCGAAACCTCGTTTCGCGGATTTTTCGCTGGTCGCGCCGATAGTCGGACGCCATAACGCCGCAACGTCATCACGGTAATATGTACGCGGTAAACACTAACAATCGGAGGGACACGCGGCCGCCGTGGTCGGAGAAAGAGAGAAACGATCGGCCGGGCGAGAGGGCTGGCGGGGGGTTTGGCGGATAGCGAAAGGGTGGAACGACGAGCGAAAGGGTTGGAAAGGGACGGCGCTGCCGCCGATAGAACGTAAATGAGAGCGGAGCGGGCGCTGGCAAGCAGGTATTCTCGTTGACGAACCAATTCATTATTATCCGGGATAAATAATGCGCTGTGTGCCTTGCGGTAGCAGGAATTGTTCGATTTCCTTGTCGATGTGCTGCGCGCATAAACTGCCGGCCGGGGACGGCGCACACGCGTACGCGCGCGACCCACCAACGTGCCGATATCGGCGCGGCGCACACTTTAAATAGATCGCACGTGTAATTATTAGCGCGGCGAACGCTCCGACTCAGCGCACTTCCAAAAAATGTAAAACCCTGCCAGATACACGGATAGGGGTTGCGTTCGACGGTGGGTGTGGCGCGGGTGACGGGCGCGGGTGACGAGCACCGTCGATGAAACGAGATTAATTAGCGACGCGTCGAAAATTCTAGTCGGATCGAATTTCCACGGCGGGGTGCAATTGTTGTCGGCCAGTGCCGACCGCTGCTCGCCTGTTATGCAACCTTTTTGCTGTAGTAATCACGCGTTGCCAATTGGAAAACCAGTTTTCGGAGCGGGATCGCGGTTTCTGGAGCGGCGGTTCCCAGCAATTCGAAGTTCTTATCGCGCGGATGTAACATTTCGTAGTTCGAACGTTTCACGCGATCGTAACAAATTTGTACAGGGTGTCCCAGCGTCGGCGGTGCAGCCGGGACCGGAGTGATTTTATATGGGAAAAACGAGTCGGAGGTATTATAGGGAATAAAATGTTTTCATCCGAGACTTCGTCGACGAGAAAATCGACTTCGAATATTCAGCCATTTACAAATAGTACTAATAATATTAGTATCAACAAGATGTGCTTTGTGTTGCACGCTTCTGCCCGTGGATTCAGAGTGGATTTAGATGAAAATAAGACACACACGTGATTTAGTTGCTAACTTACTTTGTTGATGCAAGAATTGCTGAACATGCTATAATAAGCTATAATAACATGCTATAATAATAATATAATAAATAAATATTCAAAGTCGATTTTCGCGACAATGAATCGCGACAAAATCACCCTTTCCTCGATGGTTGCCCCGACTGTTGGAACATCCTGTATAAGTTCTAACCGGAAATGTCATCCCGTACGCGTGCACATACTCGCGAAAGTATTCGAACGAATTTTTAAGACGGAATAACTTCTTTACGATTGGTCCAAGCGATCTAAATTTTGTTGAGACGTGAGAGGGATTAGTTTCTTAGATAATGGCTAAAAATTGTTTTCAGAAATTACAGTTGGTTGAGATGACAACAAAAATGAAAGATCGATGATTTTTCGATCTTTTCATCTGAGCTTGTAACGAAACTTGAAAAAGTGTCCTCGTTCTTCTTTTTAATGTATGAATGATACTCGAGAATAAATATTGTAAATTGATAAAGGTCTTGAAAGGTGACGTAACCTTTTTCAATAAAACGAGCGATGGAAACATTACGCCGAGATTGTTTATTACGTAAATAATTTTGTATCGATGCCGTTGTTTCGAGTCGTTTGAAAACCCATATTTGACCCTTTCCTGCGCTTACAAAATTTTTGTCCGTGTACGATTCATACCGAACATATTTTTAATGCTTCGAACAGGCATTTTGAACCGATGAGAGCATATCTCTCTCAAATATAATAGTATCATTTATTATAACTAGACTGCGGATTTTTATGTGAAATAAGAATTGCGTAACTTGATTCTAAGGAAATATCGGATGAAAAATATCTTTCCTCTTTTAATAATTTTAATAATTTGTGCATCATATAAAAATGTTCTCAAATTCTTCAAAGAAGCTCGCAAGAAATGCACACAATCCGCAGCCTTGTTATAACTATCGAATTTCATAAATTTGTAATTCTTAATCAAGGTATGCAGATTTACGAGCGGCGTTCCGAACGGGCAATAGAAGTTTATTCGCAAAAGAAGATTTTGTCGATGGCAGTACTTAACGTTTAGATCACTGCTTCCCGAATTAATTTCGCTCGATAGCGCTCGAATGAAACGATTTGTAAAATCAGACTATTCTTGTAAATAAATGACGCTGGCTACTGCATCGAGTCCGTCAATATCTCACCCCCAAAACACGTCGGAAAATCCAGTGGTTGGTTGGACGAATTTAATAAACTTGTCGCTCGAACGTCGGATACAGCTCTTTTATATCTTGATTTTGATTTGATACGGTGCATCATAATAATTTTGGCGCGTCCCGACCGGTCACGTTCCGTCGGGGACGTCGTATATCGCGAAACAGCACGGTCCATACGTCGAGCGGACGGTTCTCGAGGAAACGAGAGTCAGCAACGGCACCGGCAACCCCCTGCGCCATATCCCGCTGGAATAGACTCATTATGCTCGTGACTGGACCGGCCATGTTAGCCAGTTCGAAAACAACTATCGCGTTTCTCTGTCTCTCGTTCTGCCGCCCTCCCGCCCCTTCCCCCTATCTCTGTCTTCCGATCTTTAACTTGACAGCCGGCTGACGTTCCCAGACGCATGCAGCTGGTATCTGCTCTGATAAATAGTCGTAGATCGATTGATAAGGGCAGCGAGACGTCTGAACGATTCCGCAGGAAGTGCTTCTGGAAGCGCGCGCCGGGAAGGATTGAGACAAACATGTTTGTTGCTCGGATGTTTGTCGTAGTTTCTTGACGAATGACCGTTTCTGTACCGAGAGGAACATCGACGCTTATTTAGGAGCGGTGTCCCTTGTCTACGAACGCGGTCCCGCAATTAACGCGCCGTGTGCGGGAGAACTATTAATGCCTTTTTAAAGAATTTAATTTTTTTTAATTTCGTTAGGCAGGTTGTCCAAAAAGTCACTCGTAATCAGGAAATGAGGGGCTCCTTAGGCCAGTTGAAGTAACTTTTTCCTCAGCGAAAATGCCATCCGCGGCTTCGTTTGCGAGTTATTAACGAAAAACAGTGACCAATGAGAGGCGAGATCGGTTGACGCGAGGCGGCCGACCAATCGCTCGTTCTTTGGCTCGGCCGCCTCGCGTCAACCGAGCTCGCTTCTCATTGATCAGTGCTTTTCGTTAATAACTCGTAAACGAAGCCACGGATTGCATTTGCGTCAAGGAAAAAGTTACTTCAAATGGCCTAAGGAATCCCTCATTTCCTGATTACGAGCGACTTTTGGCACAAGGATTGCATTTAAAAAGTGGCTTCCATAAACGAAGCCACGAATTGCATTTGCGTCAAGGAAAAAGTTACTTCAAACGACCTCAGGTCGTGTACGTGTTCGATCTTCTTGATATTCCGTTTGAATGCAACACTTTTATAAAAGATATCATTTAATAAAGAATATAAGAGCACGTATATACTTCTTACTATACTCGTCGAAGACAGCAAAATGGTTAATGTGCGCGGATAGAAATTCAACGACACGTTATCGTCCCGGCAAAAGTAAGCGATGTATATAGAAAATGTAAGTACATAATGTAAATATAAAATGTAGATACAAAATGTAGATACGAAATGCTGATACAAAATGTAAATACATAACGTAGATAGGAAACGTAGACTGCAGACGACGGAAGAATGAAATATTATGCGCAGGTTACATAAATTCTAGCAGCTGCGCGCATTCGTAAATGAATGGATATTTACAAGCGAGAATGGCTGAATGAAACGAATCGAAACTGCGAACGATACACACGTATACGAGCACGAATCGAGCGGGTTTCGATAATACACGAGCGACGTTGGAGAAAACAGGTCGTCGCGNAGAGGCGAGATCGGTTGACGCGAGGCGGCCGACCAATCGCTCGTTCTTTGGCTCGGCCGCCTCGCGTCAACCGAGCTCGCTTCTCATTGATCAGTGCTTTTCGTTAATAACTCGTAAACGAAGCCACGGATTGCATTTGCGTCAAGGAAAAAGTTACTTCAAATGGCCTAAGGAATCCCTCATTTCCTGATTACGAGCGACTTTTGGCACAAGGATTGCATTTAAAAAGTGGCTTCCATAAACGAAGCCACGAATTGCATTTGCGTCAAGGAAAAAGTTACTTCAAACGACCTCAGGTCGTGTACGTGTTCGATCTTCTTGATATTCCGTTTGAATGCAACACTTTTATAAAAGATATCATTTAATAAAGAATATAAGAGCACGTATATACTTCTTACTATACTCGTCGAAGACAGCAAAATGGTTAATGTGCGCGGATAGAAATTCAACGACACGTTATCGTCCCGGCAAAAGTAAGCGATGTATATAGAAAATGTAAGTACATAATGTAAATATAAAATGTAGATACAAAATGTAGATACGAAATGCTGATACAAAATGTAAATACATAACGTAGATAGGAAACGTAGACTGCAGACGACGGAAGAATGAAATATTATGCGCAGGTTACATAAATTCTAGCAGCTGCGCGCATTCGTAAATGAATGGATATTTACAAGCGAGAATGGCTGAATGAAACGAATCGAAACTGCGAACGATACACACGTATACGAGCACGAATCGAGCGGGTTTCGATAATACACGAGCGACGTTGGAGAAAACAGGTCGTCGCGGCGATCTTTACGTAATCGAGCCCGCTTATTGCACAAGTGCATCGCGGACAAGCGCATCCGAGTCGGACCATTCATCTTGGCCCGCCCACGCGATTCACGGCGGGTAAATAAACGTGTCACCGGCGCGTAACTCATTCCGACCCCGTGTCCGACCGCGGTCTGGACCCTGAAAATGGGACACCTGGCTCGCCGATCCCATTCCCGTCGACCCCGAACTTTGTTTCTCGGGCCATTTTCCCCGAGCCCTGTCTACGCGAAAAATTGTGTCCCCGCCGCGCGGAAATACTCCGACCGTGACGTTTTTATAGGGGAGCACATAAGCTTCGCGTTTATGGATAATCCAGCTCGGAATCTTGAGGGTTGTTCGCGCGGAATATTCGACGCGAGATAGGGCAGCGTGGAGCCGGTTACTCTGAGGTGACCAGTTGCTGTGACATTGGTTGGTTCTTTGGGGCATGATTAACTTCGTATTTATCGAGCAGGATGTATTCAATTTTTTTATTCGATGATAAACTAAACGAAAGAATGCAATGTCTTATTCCGTAAATACGAAGTTACTTGAAAAATGAACGGGATAGAAGAATCTCATGTGTCTCGCTCGATAAATATGAAGTTCATTAAGAAATAAACAAAATGAAAGGTATTTGATACGTTTTATTTGTTAAATAATAAGTTAATTATGCTTGGAAATCAAGTAAAGGTACAGTAATTGGCTCCATTGTCCTGGTCAAACTTATTTTGCAGTATCGTTGATGCACGTATTTGCGTATTTTAATTATAACTTTCATTCGAAATAATTAATCCGTTATTAGTAAATTTTA